CAGACTTCATGCTTGTTCGGAGTGCATTTGAGGGGATTAAAAGAAATTGGTTCCTATCTGCTGAAACTTCAAGCCTTAAGGAATTTAATGACAACAATATATCCTCTGCTCCAGATGAGAAGGGGAACTTACTTTCCATCAAATATCCTCGAGGTGATGGGCAAAGCATTCTTCCAGATGATTCTCCTAAAATTCTGCCCCCCATTCGTGAATCCAAGAGCCAAAATATTCCAACTGCCAATGGTCATTCTAGTGATATGTATTCTGATGCAAACAGGATATCTGCTCTCAAAATGCTTTTGTCAGATGGTAATGATGAAGCAAATGTAGTTTCAGAAATGACTTTTAGGCTGAAGGTTGATGACAAAACTGGAGACAATTCAGCGGAACAATATCTGAGGACCGGGTCCCCTCCTAAGAAGAAGCATAAAAGGAGGAACGACAAAGATGGATCTCATGGTCCTGCTTCTGAACTTGAAAGATCAGGAGTTCGTGCCTCCACGAAAGATACAATATCACACTCTGAGATTTCTGGATCTGGAAATTCTTTAGTAGGTATACCTGAGTCTGAGGATGCACAACAAAGAAAACATAATCTGCTTGAGGCAACTGCTGCACTGTCGGGTGTACAAACTGATCGATTTCAGAATGAGGTTGGTGATGTATTTGACAAAAGATCGCTACTTGAATCTGCTGTAGTGAAAGAGTATAAAGTGGGCAGCAACCGGAGCGCTGAAAATCATTTAGATTCTGGTAATATGAAAGAGGATTCCATGTTGGATGGTGTAATTAACATTCCCGAAAACTCTATGGTTGAGAAACATGAAATGTTTGGATCAGATGTTGCAACTGTACAATTGGAGGGCAATGCTTCAGGGCCAAGTTCACGTCCAGAGAAGAGGAAGAAGAAAAGAAGAGGGATTCAAACAGACAATTATATCCCTCTCGGGCTACACAAAAGTGCTCCTGTGGTTAATCATGAAGAGACTGATCGGACTGATATGGAAGAAAACCAAAAGGAGTTTTCACTGAACCAAGACCCTGAAGTGACACAGTCTAAGGATCAGGTTGAAGCTGGAGGAAATATCACAGAGTCGGTTTGGCTTGATAAACAATCAGATGCCTGTGGGGAGAGGGGACATGACAGTGGAAGAAAAAGTAGGTCCAAGAAGTCAGGCGCAAAAATTCTGCAAGAAACAGATGTCAAACATTCTAACAATGCGACTTGTACAGATGTGCCAAATTTAGAATTTAATAATACAAAAAATGAGAGTATCCTGACCCCATCTGAAACTTGCCAGACTAATGAAATTGATGCGAGAAACTTGTTAGCAAACCATGAGCCACTAAAAGGCCCATGCGGAGCAGATGTTACCATCAAAGAACGAAATCTTTCAGCTAAGCTGTTGGATGCCGATGGTGCAATTGAAACAACTAACTCTCGTGGCATCAAGAGGAAGAAGAAGAAAAAGAAGAAGAGTACCCAGAAGTCTGCTGCAAAAATTCAAGATGCATCAGTTATTGAGCACAGTACTGAAAAAGGTGAAAGCATGGAGAATTATATTCAAACTCTTCGGTGTAAAAGCAATGAACAAGAAAGTGCATTGTCAATTAACCATGACCCTGAAGCGATGCAGCCATCAATTAGCAACTCTTTAGTTTGTGATAAACCAGGTATAACTCCAAAAGAACCAATTTCTAGAGAACAGTTGTTGGTCACAAAAACTGTTGTGGAACCTGGGAGCTCTGGGGGCAGTAGGAAGAAAAAGAGTGTCAAGAAGTCTGATCCCCCTTATCCGGAAGCCTATCGCTTGGAGCACACCAGTAAGGAGAGTGTGAATGGCACTTCATTTGATGAAAAGAGACAAGGGATCTCTTCCAACAATGGAAAAGATGTAATCAAAAGGAAGTCATTGGATGGTTCTGCTGGATATGCTTTTGAGGAAGTTGATAATGCTGATGGAAATGAGGAAAAATTATTGCCATTAGCTCAGATTGGTAGAACAAAGCAAAGTGCTGAGGTTACAGGTGAGAAAATAACAGAGATGGAGGTGGAAAACCTAAAACCTGCAGATAGTTGCTATAGAGATCTTCCTCTCGATGAACAAGAAAAACAGGTGAAAAGTTCACAGCTGGATCTAATACACAAAAATCAAGAGAGTACAGGACATTTGGATAAAAAGGAAAAAGAGGAAATAGAAAAGAAACAACTCACTGCATCAAAAGACCATGACAGTTCTCCAATCAAATATCAAGAAGTTGGTGCTGAAGACTTGACAGCTTCTAATGATAAACTTGGAATAACCTGTAATCCGTTGGAAGCAGCAAAGGTAAAACTAAACAAAGCAAGTCCTTCGAGTCAATTGGCTGTGTCTGAGATGGAACTTGGGAAGGAGAAGCTTAAGCGTGTGCCGGAAACTGATCTCCGAACTGACAATCTGGTAAACAATTTTGAAAATGAAAATGAAGGGATAAACTTCAAAAGCTACTTCATTCCTAGTCAACAACAGGATAAAGTTGCCTCTAGTGGTGGCATAAAAGTATCAACCAAATCAAATCAGAAGAGGAAGGCTGAGAAAAAGAAGAAGAAGCACGATTCACCTTCTGTGAGTGCTACACTTAATGTTCAAAGGTCAGTCGTGTCATATGAAAACCAGGAGTGTGAAAACACACCTGTTATCAGACATGAAAAATTACCATCGAACCATGATCAGAATGAAGTCATGCTCAATACCAAAAAGTCCTTAAAAGTTTCTGAAAATTTGGAAAAAGCTTCAAGTCAGACTGATGTTGCAGGGACTGGAACTCTTCAAAAACCTGAAGAAACCCCTTCTGCATATGATTCTGAGGCCATTAGGGCTGCAGCTGCCCATTCGGAGGAAAACAACAAATCTTTGGCTGGATCAAGCTCCAAAAGATCCAATACATTTACTGAAAAAAGAAGGGATAAAAGTCGACAGTCAGATGTAGCTAATAGAATTACTTCCATTAAGAATGACAGGATAGTTTTGAACAGTTCACGACAAAAGAAGAGTCTGTTAGCTAAATCAGGAGCAATGTTTTGGGATAATGTTAGTGAAAGTTCTGGCGATGAAAATGGGACTATAAATTCAAATGCCAGCACATGCACTCCATCAGATAGTTCGTCTTCATCTGGAAACTCAGTAGGGGAAAGTGAGTTGAGCCAGAAGTCAACTAGAAATGGTAAGTCTAGATCTTGGCATGAAAATGCAACCTTGTCCAATGTGTGCAAAACCAGAAATTGAAAGTAACTAGAACTTTATCAATTTTAATAAACTGGATGTTTATTGTTTAGCTGATGTAGATAATTTGTTCTTTTTTCCTCTTTAATATCTGCACCTGGAATTTTTTTTTTTTTTGGGTGACTTGCTAAATTAAATATAATTGTTCAAAATATGAGGCATTGATGCTTATACTACTAAACTGGCATAATTTGTACTAGATAATGTATTATCCTGAATTCTCTAGTGCTTCCCTTTTGCAGGTATCCTACTAAAGAAATTCTTTTCTTATTAGGATTTAGGGATTAGATATTGAGATTCATTTGATGTTATCTATGATGTCAAGTTTATGTTTCATTTTGGTTTTATGGGCTTCTCTGAGCTGATCTTTCCATTGTAAATTTAACTACCTCAGGATCCAATAATGCTGTAAAGAAAACAGTTGCTGGAGGGAAAAACATTTTGAAGTCAGAGTAAGTTCAATACACACACTTGCATACACAACCGTGGATACATGCGTGCATACATGTGTGTGCAGTTGCATGCATACATTTATATGTATTCCATTTTAACCCATTTTCTTGAACTTGGCCCTTTGTAGTACGAGTGCTACTTAGCTCCTTTAACCATTCCCTGTGGCTAAGCTAGGACAACCTCGCAAAGTGTAGAAGTATTGTTTGGCAAATGGTACCATTATCATTATGTGGTTTGCCTCTTAATGCTCAACTGTAGTAATTGCATATTGAGCACATTAAGGGATCGAGGTAGAATCACAAGGCAAACTAGCTATCGAAGAGGAAAACTAAGTCACCGGATATTGACCACATTAAGGAACCCAGGTAGAATCACTAGGAAAACTAGCTATCTAACTAAGAAGAAAACTAAAGAACACAAGAAAATAATCCAATAGTTGAGGGAGGATCTCTGTGTATGATTCTTATTTCTCTAGAATGGAGAAGTCTCTTCAAGCCTTCATCAAAGTTATTCCAAAATCCAACCCGGTAAAATGTGATATTTCCTCGACTTCAGTTGCTAAATTTAAAAAGGTGGTTTAAACAATATTTGCATCTTCAATATTTGTTTGTATCATATCAGAATTAATTGCCTGTAGGATGTATCATTTCTAATATGGATAACTGAACTACGACAATGTTTGGATGTTTGTTCTTGAATTTCTAGAATCTTCCTTTTTATTATATAGGGCGCTTCATAATAAATTTGTTATCTTAAAATCTGTTGAACCTTGCAATTATTGTGGCACCAGTTTATCAGGCAAGAAGAATATAACTATGGATATGCTTCTCAGAAGCTCTGCTAGCTTCAAGAAAGCCAAGAGCATAGCTACTCAACACGAGCTTGAAGACACTGAAAGTCAGCCAGTGGAATTTATTCCTGACAGTCAAGTAAACCCATGAGTGTGTTGTGTCGGTCTGCTGAAATATACATTTTTCTCTTGGTGATGTTAAATTTTGTGATCTATGGCAAGATTCTGAAATTTAGCCGCATTGGCAATCAAAATTTTGTAAGCATGCATCCAGGATTGGAGTGCAAATTTTTATCTGGACAATGCATACCTGGCTGCCTGCTACTTTTGTAACAATTGGCTTTATACTTATTTTATGTTAGTTTCTTCACATAAGATGCAAAATGTAGTTGGCTTTTTGCTCAGTACTGCCTTCGTATTTTTCTTTCATTATATTATTCTTGCCCTTTGCATTTATAGTCATATAGAACTGATCATACTAAAATCCGAAGCAATGGTCCAAGAGAGGAAAATTTTCATGGGGAAAATTCAATAATATACTGTGCAATTACATGTAATTAAACCAAGTGACTCCACCGAACAAAGATATAACCCTTTTCATTGTGATCTCATCTTGTTGATCTGGTTCAAAGCTGGTTGCAAAATGTTGTACAGCACCCAAAGAATGGCAGGAGTGATGACAAACAGCAAAAGCTGCCCCCTGTTGTCACTTGCAGCATCAGCAATCATAGCAATTTCACTAGCTGATGCATCAGATGGCTGCATCAAACTCCATGAGGCCAGCCCACCTAGACCAAGTCCTATGATAACTCCTTTGTTGCTTCTCATTCTGTTGATCTGGTTAAGTGCTGGTTGCAGGATGTTGTAGAGCACCCAAGCTATTGCCGGAATGATGGGAATAAGAAGGGCAAGTCCCCGGTTGTCGCCCTCAGCTATTTCAGCAATCTGTTGTGCTGCAAAGGCAGGATCACATGAGCTCAATGTCGAGAAAACAGCACTTGCAAGGGCAGTTCTGGCAAACAGACCAGAGTTTTCCGATGATATTGAGGCGGCAAGGCCTTTCGGTGGGTTCTGCATGGAGAGAAGAGATATTGGTTTTGCGGTGGGCTTAAAACACTTAGTGTTGGTGCTTAAGCACTTGGCATTGAGCATAGCCATGGTAGATATTGTAGCTGCCATTGACGCAGTTCTTGTTAAGCCTAAGGTGTAAAGGAAAAGATTTGATGTTCAATTGGGATTTGCTGCTATGAGAAAATGGAATATAGGGATGAAGTCAGTTGAAAGAAATGAGATCCAATCGGAATGTGTAATCTGGATTGTTCTCTTATCCACTGAGGTTGATTGGTGAGATTTGGACCTCATATTAGATACCCCACCGAGACTTATCACTTCCTCTCCGCTCCATCACACTTCAGTTGAGAATTATAGAAGTTTCCGAAAACTAACCTGTGCATTAATTCAAAAGAAGATACAAAGGGTTGAATTGGAGTGGAATTTGTGGTTAAAAATTTTTAACTTTTGAGGTTTAGAAATCTAGTTCTAGGATACATATATTTTATAGTATCACTAAATTTTTAATCATATATTTCATCAACTTTTATCAAAATTTGTTAAAAAAAAAAAAAAATTATTTTAATTCCACCGACCATTTTAGTTTTTCAGGTCAAACTGGTAGTCTGTTCCAATTATGACAACATAGGAATTGACGAGGCAAATGATGTAAAAGAATTTGTATTGCACTTTTGTAAACTTTAAAATGACTATAACATTTTTGTTATTTTTATACTCATCCAGCATTGGTGCTTAGAATTGAGAAAACTTATCGCGAAGTCGTTTTTTTATGAGGAAAATCTTATCTACGAATAAGGGGAGAAAATAATGGCAAAAGAAAAGGTAAATCAAAACTTGTCGAGTCCTTTGTCAGAGTAATTGGAAAATCAATAATTCCTGCTGTACAGGGCCTGTACAGGTCTACTCACATGTTGGGTGGGTGATTATTTAAAAAATAAAAAATAAATTACCCCACCCCTCATGTATTGTGAGAGGCCTGTACAGGTAGCAAGATTGTTGGAAAATAGTAATATTAATAAAAGAACGAGAAAGTGTGGATGAGTTGGGAATTGTAGTGAAATAAAAAATTTTATTCTATTTGACAATTTCGACGTCACTGGTAATAGTTGTTATTTTACCAGTGAGATTTACAAAGGATATGCTAAGAGTAAAAAGTTTAAAACATGAATGCCAAAAAAGTGTTTTTCACACAATTAATGTTACTTACGAGGTCACACACTTGAACTAGTTTGTACAATTATACAGGTTGAAGTCACATTAGACGTGTGACCGTCACATGTAATCACAAAATATATACATAAAATGTCACCTAAGTGAAATTATTCTTGCACAATTATTCAACCTTAGACATAGGTTTAAAGTCACATCTATTGCCTATGAGTCATAATTATATCATATCCAACCAACCAAAAAAAAAAAACGCAAAACATGTTTTAGTGTGTGACTTTGTCATTCTATTCCGAATTATGGTCATAGCATATCAATATTTCAGCATACATTAGTCGCGAATGAGTAACAACAAATTATTTGGTGAGAAAAGTTGAAATCTTAGAAAATATCACGTTGGCGGCCTTTTTCTATAAATAATAATAATAATTTTAAAATTTGTGCTAAATTTTGAATATGCCTGATTTTGGTCGAAATATTAAAAAATTAATCCGATTTCTCTAAAAACCATTTTAAACTCTTATACATAATAATTTTCTCATGACATAACGGACAAACTATATTAGAACATCTTTCTTAATGTGATTTTTTTTTTTTTTTATCTAATTTAATGTACCAAACTTGTCTTAAAAAAATTATTCCATGCACTTCATGTGGGATAAATAGATGGTTCTTATTTAACTTTTTGTAATGTAATTTCTAAGTTTCCTTGAAAAATAATTGTCTTTGGGATAGCCTAGTTAATTGCTTAGTCAATGAGATTACACACACGATGTTACCTTTGATGTAACATAAATTAGGTGCCCACTCCTAATTAACTAAATGGAAAATGAAAAATGTGGTTCTTAAAAGGTTGAACCCAAGGTCTCCCACCATCTCGTCCATGGAGTATCGTGACAGAGGTTAATATCGAGATGTGCTCCAGCAGGTCAGAAAACAAGAGCTGCATGTCCACTGATGCCCACAAAGAGTCTCAATCCATGTTTCAGGAATCGAACCCTCATACTGCGGCTGACAGCAAGGCTGAATATACTCATCATTGTCCTTTGCACTACTGGAATAAGCCCCGAGGGGTTTGTGGTTCTTGATTATATACAAAGGATGTCGGTCCATTTGTAGGTACTATATTGTACCATTCTAAATAATGACAGGCGTCGACTCTAGCTAGGATAAACCTTTGCCCCTATTTGGTAGGGATTAGAATAAGATATTTAGTAAATTTTGATTAAAGTTTTTTTATGAAATGTATGGTTTAAAAGTTGTGTATCCAATAAAATATGTAGTTAAAATTAGCAATTGATTTTGACGTAGATTAAAATTAAAGGTTTTACAAAAAGTCGGTATATTGAAAGAGTGTTTAAATGATTGGACACGACTTAGGAAAATCGACGGCATTAATTGGTTTAATCTGATAGGCGTGATTAACAATGCTATTAAGAATAGGGCAAAAAATTAAATATTTATTTGGTTATTAGGAATTCAAAAAGTTTTGGAAGATTCAATTCGCATGAGTTGAATTTTTAAACTATCACGAGATAAAATAATTTTATTATTAATGATTGTGTCACAATAACAATTCAATATATCACAAAGGGGAGTGCAGTTTTGTATAATTAATCGTTGTCAGTGCCATGTTGTATTATGAGGGTCATTTGAACTTTAGTAACTTTTAAGTAGGACTGATAAAAGGGTAAATCTATCTAATATTCGACCCAGTAATACGTAGATAACCAATTATTTAGAACTCGTTAACAGAACGTAGAAATCAGTCGATTCAACCTCAAAATAGATTGGCTTCCCTGAAAATTTTAGGTTGCGGTTGGTTTAGTTTTTTATTTTTTATTTTCAATTTCAAAACGATTTTTAGTTTTCTTCGAAAACGTTGCATTTTGTGCATTTTCCACGTTTTGAATATTTATAATTGAAAACGCTCAAAACGATAAAAAAATTATTTTGCATTTTCAGTTATAAATTTTACCTTGTTTTCGAAAACGACGAACCAAATGCGTTTTCCGCATTTTCGAAAACGAAAAATGACCCGAAAACTCCAAATTAACTGCAGCCTTATTTTCTTAATTTTTTTACTATCAGTCCAATGCGTTGACCTATTTACCTTCTCTAGATAAGTGTTTGAGCAATGCTATTCATAGTCGTTCACTACGATAATCGTCCTACATGACGATTTGTAATTTGATGTATTAATGTGGAAGTTTTTTCTTGCCTTACATATTAAATTACTAACCGCCACATGTATGCCACGCGAGATAATTGCAATAGTGAATGATTGTAAGTAGTATTATTCTTAATGGTTGGCATGATTTTTAAAAACATTATTTAATACGAGATTTCGTGGCATGTTGAATAACCATTAAATATTCAATTCACTCTTGGACTCTTTATTGGAACGCATAATCGATCAAGATGCGCTAGCAAATATTGATCCATTTCCTTTTATCACCAATAAATGAATTGAAAAATAAGCCCCATTGTTTATTTCATTTTATATAAATATTAACATAAGTGAATTGACAAATGAACCTTAATTGTTTATATTATTTTGAAATGAACCTTAATTGTTTATATTATTTTGTAATAAACATTGTATTAATTAATTTGGCTTAGCTCCCAATAATGGATGGTGACAATGACCATTAATACTCCTCCATCACTAAATTATACCAAAAAAAGTTAAAAAAGATATAAAATTGCCAAATAATTCATAAAGGTAAG